TTAAAATAAAAGGTAATTATGTGAAATTATATTAATGCCCTCGTATCTTCCTCTTCCTTAGTCAGCAATGCAAACCCTGCAACGTTTCAAACTTTTCTATAACCGTCCTTCCATTTATAACCCTGCAATGCCCAAGGACCCATAGATCTGGATTACCCATCCGATTCAATGAAATGACTCTATGTTCAATGAAATTCGCCATCACAAACACCAAATTCGAGCAGCCATTCAAACCCAGATTCGGTCGATTTTGTTCTTACAAACCAAGATTTGATCTAATCGCGTCATCATCGCTCTTTAGATCGCATCCAAACTCAGATCTATCCTTTTGGAAGAATCTGATATCATGTGGTTGGGCATATCGTTGATGGCGAGCTTGCAATCGGAGAAGACGAGGTTTTGCACTTGCTGGCAGGTTTTGGTGGTGTACTGAACGTCGTAAGCTTCAATTTCCAGGTGGGCTTGTTCGAAACTGGAGACGAAGTACTGACTTTCATCGAGGAAGATGGTGCGGCTGTCGAGGTTGAGGGAGTGCCAGAGGAGCGATTCGTGGGTGAGAACGAAGATGAGGAAGTGGCAAAGGGACGGGCAGCGGGTAAGAACCGAGGAAATGAGGGAGAGTTCGGAGAGAGTCATGAGGTGCTGGGTCGTGTTGGAGGAGGCGGCATAGTGGAGGAGCGTGGTGGCGATAGAGCAGGCAGGGGCGAAGCAGAGAGAGAAGAGGAGGTTGGAGGAAGATTAGGGTAGTTTTGTAAATTCATAATTTACTATTAATGATATTTTAAGTTATTAATTAAGTGGTGGGTCTTATCTTTTTGGATTAAAAGTGTAAAGTGATAATAATGGGTCAACTGCCACGTATCCTTTTTTTCTCTTAGCAGGTCAAACTTCTCGTCTCCTACCATTATTTAACGGCTTTCCTCAGGAAGAATTTAATTGGATAGACTGAAAATGGGCTAAATTTTTCAAATTTTAGCGACTAAAGATTTTTTAAGTTGAGGACCAAATTTTGGGGTTTAACCTAATTGTTGCAGGTTCAAGTTCAACATAAAGCATTCGAGGTTATACAGTGTGCAAAAAAAGGTGAGGGCTATTAACTGTCTAATCTCTAAAACAGCATAAAACACAGTACTTTTATGAAATGATAAGATTGATGATACCTGAGCAATGCAGCCACCAAGTCCCATGCCCTCAAAGAACTGATGAAAAGACAGTGCTCCAATCAAAGGCTTTATGTCTTTAAGACTGGAAGAAGCACCTAAAGATACCCCAATAATCACTGAATGAACCACAATTCCAAGCTCCAAAACCTGAATAACAACGCTAATCATATCAGCAAACTAGAATCAAGTCCCCACTTTTAAGAAGAATCTGCTGATTTTCATAGCCTAGATTCAGCAAGTGAAAAACACATCTCTTTTATGGGAATGCACTAAAAAATTAATCATTTCTAATCTTACTTGGGATATGACACGGTATCGTATTAGTTCCGACGTACTCCCATCTGTGGATGGGGTGGCAGATCCATGAGCATGGCCATGAGTGGCATGGGTATGCACATGTACATGGTCAGCATGGTCATCTCGAGCTCCCTGTTCTAGATCGAAGTGAATCCGATGGTAAAACCCCGTCGCAAATGAATCGATCATCAACGTTCCTATCGCCGACATCATGGCGATAAAACCAGTGAACGGAAAATCCGACCACACGCTTGACTTGAGGCAGGGCGAAGTCAAATTCTCAAACGCATCAGGAAGTATGTGAATGAATCCCGTACAGAGGATAACTCCAGCCGCAAACGCCTTGATAATGAAGAATATATCGTTCTCCGGCCGCAGAGCCTGGATGCTCCGCCCCAGCAAAGGTAGGCACACCCCTATTGCGCCTGCGGCAAGAATAGCTACTATGGCACCCACTTTGTATCTTCGTGTCTCCGCTCTGCTTCCATCGGTGGACTCGTCCAGTTGGCACCCGCAGTCACCGTCACCAGAGACCATCGCCGGACATACAAGAACAAGAATAAAACATAATTTGAAGATGAATTTGGATGGGAAAGGCCGAAATTTTTTCATGTTATCCTTTCCTTTGTATCTCTTACTTACTTTGTCTTTAAGGGAAGAAATTTTCTGTTCAGTGATGGATATTACTCACAGAAAAGTCTGGACCATTTAGTAGAAGGAAACAAGATGGGAGTGGCCAGAAAAAGGAGAGAATCTGAATTTTTTTTTTGTTAAATCCCCAATTTGTTATTTGAACTATTATACAGAACTCAATTTGGTCCCTATTGTTTACCAATTCACCTCAAGTTGGTTTTTTCGTATAAAAACCAACTTACGTGTTTTATTATTAACGTAACATGTGATTATTAAGTTATTATTTTTTGTCGTTAAGTTATTTTTTTTCATCGTTAAGTTATTTTTTTTCATCGTTAAATAACGAATACGTCAGTTGTTTTTTTATATAAAATGATTAATTTGAGGTAAATTGATAAACAATAAGGGTCAAATTGAAATTCGTACAATAATTTAAGAATTAAATCAGAGTTTTTTTAATTTAGAGGTTAAATCAAAAGTCTATAGTTCAGAAATCAAATTAGGAGTTTAATCTTTTTTTTTTAACGGCTAGGATATTCTCAATTTTTTGGGTTAAAGCCAATTGTTATCCCTATACTTTGAAATTTTTTCGTTTTCATCCCTTTACTAAGGATTTATTCATTTTCATCCCTCTACTCCGCCATAGAGCCAAACGTCGTCCCTCTACTCCTCTTTTTTTGGTTCATTGTCATCCTTTTTCTAACACTGTTCATATTGCCATCATTATTGACCATTAATTCCTAAATAGGCAGCAGTTAAATTATTAATTACACTTTTTTTTCATATGTATTGCCACATGTGCATACAATATGATATTAAATTTTGAATAAAAAAATTAATTATATAACATATAATAATTATAAACTTATAATGTCATCATTTTCATATACCATACAAATAATATATGTAGATCAATGATGTTTTATGAAGAAAAGAAACCACTATTTTGGATGAATTTTTTTTTTAAGAAAATATTGGGTAGAATATTGATTCTAAAAGGACAATGAAATATTAATAAAATATAAAATAAAATAAATTCTTTTATTTTTTGGTACATAAATCCTTTTATTTTCTAGTAAAGTAAATACTTCATTCTCAGTTTCTTAAAACCTCGCTCAAATATCTTATTGAAGTAGGCACCAAACTCAACCAATTGAATCCGACCGCCTTCTTCCCAAGACATTATGTAGAAACAAAATCACAGTCTCAACCCAATTCTCAACTCAAGAAAATTCCCATTTCCTACATCTTACTAGTTTCTTAAGAAAATTCAAAACCGGTTGACCTCCCATTCTTTAATCTCCACATGTTATATTGACTGCTTAGAGCCTCAATTCATTCATAAGAAAAATGATACACACAAACTTTTTAATTCTTTTCTTTTTTCTTTTTTTTTTATACTAGAAATTAATATGTATCTTTTCGCAATTTAACATTAAAGTAGACACATAACAATTGAAAAACATAGTGGAATTTCCATGATTAAAAAAAAAAAAAAAAAGAAAGAAGAAAAACGAAAGAGAAAAATACATTAGAAACGTGGGATTCATATGGGGTGTGGTTATTGTTATTATTAAAAAAGTAAA